ATATTCTCTGACTAGCATACCACCATATAAACACTGGACCACTTTGAAAGAATTATCACAGATGTTGCGCCAAACATTCTTATTTGAGCACAGCAATAGCAAGTTCTCGAAAGATAAAAAAATTTTCTGACTAAAGCAGCCGTCACTCGCGCGCTCCCCGTTAATTCCGCCGACCCCTCCGCTGCCCCCGGCACACCCGGCTCCTCGTGGTTCGACATTTTGGTTTGAAGAAGGCGCGTAGCGCACATCCCGCATAATATTGGAACAACTTGCTCTCCAATTAATTCTTAAATGTATTGCAAAAGGGTACAAAAAAGCGGTTTGTTTTAACAACGCCCAAAAGGTTTTGATTGTTTTTCAATACTTTTACCTGTATACTAGAACAGATGCGACGGCCAGCGACGCAGAGGATTGGTTGCCGTTCCTTCGCTAAACGCAGGAACTGCTCCCCACGTCGTAGTAAATCCTACCCAGTATCCCGCGCGTAGGGACGCCTCAGGGAATGCGTAGCTACTTCCGCTCGTCGGTGGTTGGCTCCGGACGTCGCTGCAACGGGTGACGGGTGTCAAGTTTGCGATGGCGTAGCGGCGTCAAAGTGGGCAGAGCCGCCACGTGAGTGTTGCTAGGTAACGCTCCTCCTTTGCATTACGTCACTTCCATGTACCTTTTCTCAAATGTCCAACCTAGCGATCTTGGTGAATTTTCCACAACTACCAATAACGTAGATTCAACGGAAATCGCGCTGAAGGCTCTATTTGCGGTGATTCCCAGAGAACGCCTCATTGACATCTTTAAGAACTTTCTGGAAGAGTCCAGTCCAAACAAACCCAGCAAGGGCAAGAAGAAAAAATCGGACAAGACAAACCCGCCGATGGCGAATTCATCGCCGAACTCAGCAAGCGTTGCTATGCCCGAAGCAACAACGCCAGCCCAAGAAACGCCGATCACAGCGGCAAGTCGGCGCCAAGACGCCGATACAACTGCGCTGATGATATTTACAGCTGGCTGTGCGCAAGATGGTGCGGCCGCAACCGAGTGGCAAGGTCCATTGCCCTCAGACGACGAAAAATGGACACCAGTCACCTACAAGAGAAGAAAGCGGGTACGAGTAGACCCCTCACTCCAAGCCCACGGATCGGTACGGCCCCGACAGCGCCTGTTCGAGTACAAGGTTCGCCCTACGAACTCTCAAGTCTCGATAAAGCCTTACCTTCAACCACTCAAGACGCAATGCACCATGCTGCGCACTACAGCCTCGTTCTCGATGCACCTCATTGAGCAAGCCAACACCATTTCGGTCCGCACGGACACGGAGGAGCTGGCAAAAATGCTGAGTGAGATTACAGAAATCAAAGTGCAGGGGCGCGAAGCACTTCCTGTACAAGTTTTCCGCACGTTTGGCACGTCATACACCAAAGGTATCATCTATGATATCTACCCTAAAGAGCAGGACCCGCGCGACGAAGTCCTCAACCACGAACTCGAATCGGAGAAGGTCGACATCGTGGCCGCCCGTCGGCTAGGCAAGTCGAATACGGCTGTCATCACATTCGACGGAGAGAGACTACCGAGGTCGATCTTCTACGGCAAGCGCTACATGAGGGTATTTCCACACAAGCCAAAGGCTGTTACGTGCCGTAACTGCCACAGGCTGGGCCACAAACCTGACATCTGCCCGAATCAGGCGGTGTGCCCGACCTGTGGAACTTCTCACCTAGCCGACACTGACCCGGCCAAGGGACCAGGATGTCCGGACTCTACTCCCTACTGCCAGGGGTGCAAGAAGAAAGGCTACCTGGGTACCGATCGCAAATGCCCAACGTGGTCGGCAACGAGCAAACGGATGCGGGAGGACATCCAGAAATTGAAAAAACAACACCGACTCCTAGAGCCGTCGGAGAATACAGAAAGAGTAAAAAATACTACGAAAACACAGAGCGGCACTTTATGGGCTGACAAGGTGAAGCAGAACATCCAAGCACCCCCACCAGCCCCCACTGGAGGGTCAGAAACACAAGAGCTTCGCAACATGTGCAGCTACCTCAAGTCTGAACTCGACAGGCTTAAAGCCACAGTCCAGTCTCAGCAAGAGGAAATCAAGCAATACAGGGAAACTGCTAACCGGCAAAAGGCGCTAGCAGCCCAAATTTTCGACGAAAAATGATCAGAGTTCTCCAGTGGAACTGTCAGGGGCTCCGCAAACGGGCAGCGAAGCTCCGACTACGCCTTCTGGATAAGCCTGACGAACACCCTGACGTACTGTTACTTCAGGAAACGAACACCACAGCCGTCCATCTTTATGGATATATACCTGGTATACTCCAGTCCCTCCATAACCACCAAACGCCCTGGAGAAATGACTTCTCCTCCAGGGAAGGACCTTGTCTACGTGAGGGACGACTGGCCTCAGCACCAAGTCGACCTCACCCCGTACTCCAACGATGGGCAGGAAATCGTGGCGGTGCGGATCCAGGTCCAGCAGCACCACATCGTCCTAGCATCCATTTACTATAGACCGCTCAAGTCCGCGACACAGCAAAGAACTAACCTATGGATCTCCCATATTCACGATCTTTACCCCAAAGAACAAAAGCTGTACGGAGGAGACTTTAATCTCCACCACCCTATGTGGGGATACAACCATGAATCTCCGGGGGCGAAAGACTTAGTGGGCGAGATGCATACCTTCCGCTTAAACCTGGTCAACAAGAAAGGAGTCAGAACAAGACTAGGAGGTTCCGGGCAGTCGGATACCACACCCGACCTCACTTGGACCACGAACCCATACATTCAATACCACAAGTGGAAATGCCTATTGGATACGTGGGGTAGCGACCACTTCCCCATCCGCTTCGAATTCTCGCCAACGAGACGGGTAAAGGACAAGGTTAAAAAACGCACAGCGAACATTGTACACTGGGACAAATTTAGGGAAGCCCTTAACAGCGCGGAACTTGAAGACGCTGACTTTGAATCGCGCCTCAACAGCGCTTTGAGGACTACAACCATCAAAAAGGACATCGGTGAAGATACTCCAACACCCGATCTCCACCTTCTCAAGCTGTGGGCCAAGCGACTGCAAAGGATACAAAAGTACCGTAAAGGGCCGAAAAGCACCGAAGCCAGACTCAACATCACCAGGGCTACGGTGGAAGCGAAGGTTTACGCACAAAAACTTGACGAACACCGATGGCTCGACTAAAGCGCATCGCTCTCCGAGAAAACGTCGATATCGAAACTGTGGGCCACGAATCGCGCACTTCTTGGAAAGAAGAAATGCAAAGAGGCAACACTCACACTTGCCCTTAAGCTCAACAAGACTGAGAAACAACTCGCCGGAATGGCAGGGGACCTCTTTTTTCCCCAGCCCGACTTGAGGAATTGTCCTTCACCATACCACCACGAAGTCCTGGCTCCGGATTACGGCATGGACCGGCCCTTCACGCGGGGCGAGCTCGAAAGCGCTCTTCAACGTGGAAAAACCCACACAGCCCCCGGACCCGACAAGATCACCATGACAATGCTGAGAAATCTCCCAGATCTTACCAAATCCGAGCTTCTAGAGTGGATTAGCGAGATCTGGGAAACTGGCAAGCTCCCCAAAAGCTGGAAACACCCCCTCGTCATCCCAATCCCTACTGAAAAAAAGTATATGAATCTATATAAGAACTGATATGAAATATCCAAAAACTGATATGCGACATATGAAACTGATATGAAATATCCAAAAACTGATATGCGATATAAAAACTGATATGAAATACCCAAAAACTGATATGCGACATATAAGAACTGATATGCAACATATGCCAACTGATATGAAATATCCAAAAACTGATATGCGATTTAAGAACTGATATGAAAAACCCAAAAACTGATATGCGGCATATAAGAACTGATATGCAACATATGCCAACTGATATGAATGTGTCCAATAAACATCTATGAAAAAATTCATATAATTTTTTTCAGTATACGACGTGCCGCGCGGGAGAGCAAACATGTGGCTTGGAACCGCAGTAGAGCGGCTTGATTTACTGGCTTTCAAATAATTACGGCATGAGCGTTTATTTTTTATTAAGAGATTCGTCCCCTGAGCTGTTCTAAATACTCTCAGAGGTACGACATTACTGAAAAAAAATCTAACACGCTGAAAATATTATTTATTGCGTAGGTGGTCACCGAAAAACTCCGTACTTACAAAACGACCTGTATAAAAGGCGGAAACGCAGAGCTCCGAAGTAGTTATTGGGTGTGCTGTTGTATTCATGTTTGTTGTGCCGTGTATGTGTATGCACTTAATGTATTTGTTCAACTGATGCTAGTGGTATGCGTAATGTATCTACATGGTGGCGTGAGTAAATAAATATATTTTTGCAGCAGATGAATTGGGCGGTACCTAGCGCCACCTAGCCTAGTGTAACTGATGTGCGGCATAGGAAACTGATATGAAATAATAAGTTCTGATATGAAAAAGGTGTCCAATAAACATATCAGAAAAAACTTCATATAATTTTTTTCAGTAGGGATCCCCAAGCCGGGCAAGGACAAAGGTACCCTCACAAACTACAGACCGATCTCCCTTATGTCTTGCACCTGCAAGATAATGGAGCGCATGGTACTTTCAAGAATAGAATGGTTTCTCGAATCTAAAAACTCTTTCCACCCGGCCCAGACGGGGTTTCGACCCGGCATCGGCACCCAGGAAAGCCTGGCTCTGATATCGGCGGATATTATCCGCAACATCAACCCTGACCGCTCCAACATCAGAACCATCATCACAGTTGATGTCAAAGGCTTTCGATTCTGTTCCACACTCAACAATCATAAAAGAATCTCAGCGCCTTGGCATCACTGGGAGATCCTTAAACTTCATCAAGACTTTCCTCGAAGGCAGAACCTTTTCGGTCCGCTGCAGAGCCAACTGCAGTGAACCCAAGGCCAACCTAGTAGGTGTCCCGCAAGGCTCTGTCATCTCACCGATGCTTTTCAACATCGTGATGGCGTCCCTACCTTACGAACTCGAAAAAATTAACAAGCTAGGGTTTACGATGTACGCCGACGACGTATCGATCTGGACCAAGAGCGAAGACATCAAGAGGCAACAAGACACACTCCAAGCCGGCCTAGACATGATTGAAGCCCACCTTCACAAGGTAGGCCTCCAAGCCTCCCCAGACAAGACTAACTATGTCACCATAGCACCCAAACGACAACGAGTAATGAAGATTGGTGACCAGCTCCATCTCGTGCTCGCAGGAAAGCGAATCCAGCCCTCTACGTCTGTCAAGATCCTGGGAATTACCGTGGAGGAGACAGGCAAAGGGGACATATGGCTTCAAGACACGCTGAAGTACTGCACCTCTGCCCTCAATGCCATCAGAAGAATCTGCAGCGCCAAGGGCGGTGCAACGGACGAGATCGCCAGAAGGATGGTAAAGGCCATGGTAGTCTCCCGAGTCTGCTACGGAGCCCGACACTACTGGCTCACCAAGGCACAGTGGCGAAAACTTGAGTCCCTGAATAACCAAGCTATGAGGATCATCACGGGCCTCCCTCGGTTCACCCCGCTCAGGAAACTAAAGGAGCACGCACAGATCAACTCACTTCATGACACCGTCGTCGCTCGCACGGTTGCACACGGCGAACGTCTTAAGCACTTTAAGCAAGGACGGGAAATCCTGAAACTCCTATGGCGCGCAGCAGAAGGCCTCCCAAACCTTCCCGAGCAACTCCCTCCTTGGGAAGATCACATGAACATTGCTGAAAACAAGCCGACTGCTCGAAAAGGCGACTCCCAACAGCAAGCACGAATCGCAAAAGTGCACTCCAGAACGGTTGAGACATGGACCAACCCCACTCACATCATGGCCGCATATACCGACACCGCCGCAGAAGACTCCCCGGTTCCGCTGAAGACCGCGGCAGTCTACTTTCCAGCTCTCGGCTCCTCGGCCGCGAACGCACTTCCAATGCGCACCTCCATCAAAGGGGGTGAACTTGCGGCGATTCACCTCGCCCTCGAAACAGTCCTCAAGTCACAACACCCTCTACCTCGCGAACTTCGAGTGTTCTCGGACTCAAGAGAAGCAATTAAAGAATGCCAGAAAGCAAGAAGCCCGAGCCGCATAGTTCGGGAAATCAAGAAGCTCGCCTCCCGACTCCTGCAGGAAGGAACGACTACCAAAATTTCCTGGGTCCCTGCGCATGCAGGCATCGAGGGCAATGAAGAGGCTCATCAGCTAGCTCGCGCGACTCTTTCCCTTCTCCGCGAAGCTGCTGACGTCCCTCCACATATACACGACCACAGCTACGCCCCCGCCTGTGATCAGGACACGGCTGGCCAAACAGATCAAGGATACGACCCGGATGAAGAACGGGCCCAGATTAAAGAGCACTACCGGACCACACTGTGGGAGAAACTTCCTCCGAACGCAGATCCCCTTCCCCAGGGTTTCGGCAGACGAGCCAGCGTTCTCCTCACGAAAATACGCACGGACACCACCTGCACGCCCGCCCGCATCGCATCATGGAGCAAAGGAACCAGGTCTGGAACCTGTTCAAGGTGCACCATGGGCAAGAAAGCCGACACTCACCACATCCTATGGGAGTGCCCCAGATCAAAGGAAGCCAGGACAAAGCACCGACCACCAGACATTAGCTCCCTGGAGGGATGGACCCACCCGCCTGGATCCCAGGACAACCAAAGGAGAATCCTAAACGGCCTCCTAGATTTTATCTATGACGCCAAGTTGGACATCTTCATCTAATCCCTTCTCTTTTATTTCGTGCCAGCGTCCAGACCGCGTAGTTACCGACGCCCTCCCTCTCCTTTCCCTCTAGATTATGGCCAATAAACGCATTATGAACTGAACTGTTACGAAGGTAATCTATACGGCGTTTATTTCAGCTCTATATCACACAAAACAAGAAGATAGAACCAACGAGTCCCTTTTCGACGAGTGTTCAACACTGCCTCGGAAAACAAGGGGAAGAGATTGACCTCACCTCTTAATCTAAAATTGAGGACAGCGATCAAACTATAATACGAGAAGGGTCCACAAGGGTAGCGCGGGCATATTCCATTCAGCACGCCAGTTGGTCGTAGGCAGACGGTCTTGCGACGAAGCAACGCTGCGCCGAGTCGGAGTGCCTGCTAAGCCTATATTCTGATCAGCTCGCTTCGTCGGAGTCGATGGATTCGTGGCTTTTGTCGCTTTTCTCGGGTGTTGGTGGATCCAGCGTTCTTGTTCGTCGTGGTCTGTTTTAAGTACTTTTTTTCTTGCTGCTTGAAGTCGGCACGCGCGAGAAGAACACGTAGAAAAATAAACGTTCGTCGGTCGTCGTGATCCAAGGAACTGAAGTCGGCCCTGCCCTACTGCGCACGCGCAGTAGTTGCTTCGTTTACCACACGATAGATGGCGCTTGGCTCTCACCATTATCAAATTTGGCAATTATCGCCACACATATCTAATTATGCTACAAAATGTGGATGTGAATATTATTTAACAAAACTTTTAGGAAACATTCGCCGGCTATTTATTGTTTACGATCGCGGTGCTGGTGAGGTAGGCTCTTACCCAATAGGCGACGTGGATTCGGCTGACGTGCTCCGTTTCCGCGGATGCATCGTAGTGAAAAGGCTGAGCTTTCGAAGGAAAAAAGGCGCAAAAGAGTCCAGTTTTCTTTTAAAAGTTCTATAGCAAATAATTTTTTTTGGCTCCCTATTTTTGTGTTTTTGTGTTTCTTTTCAGATCTTTTACGACGTGCGGTGGATGAAATTCGCTTTTAAAATCATTTCATGGTCCCTTTAAAGGCCGGCCCGCAAGCAGAGAGAAGGAACTTGACCCCCACTTTCCTTCTCGCCACTGGGAAAGGAGGAAATCGCCTCTCGTTTCCTCCTCGCCATTTTCGATTTTTTTGTTTTTGTTTTTTTGACGGCTGCATGATTTTTTTCGGGGGCAAGTTTGGGGTGGGGAAAATGAAAGCTTCAAGGATTTGAAAAGATTATCCAGAAGCCAGCCGGCACACCTGCGACAAGGAGCTGAACCAACCGTGGAGCGGTTTTGACTTTTGAGCGAGCTTGGCACTTGCTCTTCCCAACGAGTTGGATTGACTTTTTTCAGCATTGGCTTGGAGGACGATTCTCGCTGTTGTGAGAGCACAAATAACTTGTTCTGTTCAAAGAAGTAGTCATTGAAGTATCAATTTTAATATAAATATATAGTTTGGCATCTTTCGTTGTTTAGGCGAATTCATGGCGACAACAAGAAGTACGAGCGGCGTTTTTCGGTATCTCAAGGATGGCGCTCCATAGATGACGGAGGATTCTATCCGTGGTGAATCTACCACTTTTCGGCGTAGAATTTCTATGCGGACGTTTTGGTGCACAGACATTTCAGTGTACGGACTTTTTGCTGCAAAGACTTTACGGTGTGGGACTTTTCGTTGCGCGGATATTTCGGTGCACGGACATTTTGATGCCTGGACATTCGACGCTATCGTTCGCTCGTCGGTATTTCTTTTCCAACGAACGCACTATACGCTTCACATCGTAATCGCGCGTTGAGTCGACAGAGATGGTCTCCTCTATAATGTTTGGCTTTATTATTGGTACTGCGTGCAGGAAAGACCCCGAACAGCAAGAAGCTTGAGAAGTTGTTTATGTACTCAGAACAATTTTGAATATCGTTAAATGCGCCTCGCGTAATTGTATAGCTCCGATCGTTAATAATTTGTTAATAATAAATTGTTAATAACCTTACACGACAAAAAACAATGTAAGTTATCACTTGTAACTCAATAGGGAATAAGGAAGACGTGTGGCGGGTACAAAATAAGTGTAATAAAATCAAATATCGATTTGAATTAAGGAAACACGCCGGCTTTGGTGAATGCTAAATCTATTTTATTTGGTATCAAATGTTTGCCCATTCTCGTACGAAAAAAACATTGGCTGTGCATAATCCGTGGTCAACGTCTCCTTCCGTACCGTAATGATGTCGCCGGCCGTAAAAACCTGCCTTACAATCGTGTTTATAGAGCGTGATTTTTTTAACAACTAGACATTTCTCTAAAAAAAGACGTCAAAGTTACGCAATTGCGGTTTGTGCCTTATCTGTAGTCATCAAAAACACCCAATCATTCATTTTTAGAGAGATGTAACGCACGTGAAGTAGTTCACGGCGTCCTAAAAAACAAATTTGGACGTGAATCGTGTTACCGCAATCTTTTCGGCCGCCGCGCTCCTCGCCCCTTCTACAGAGGCGTTTTTCACAGCATGGCGCATGATTTATCCCTTTGGCTTCATGGCGTTCAGCTGTGCCACGCGGAGATGGTGACATCAAATCAGAACTATATTTTCACGCCCAAATGAGGAGGACGCCTTATCAGGACGCCGTATATTAGTGTACGCGCGTTGGTTTGGTGGCTTCCGATTATGGCCAACAACTTTCTAAATACACTATGTCATTTTCTTTTATAATCAACAAGCTCATTATTAAATTTTAGGTAATCAGTAGGTTTTTAGTTGCGTTCTTTCTTGCACCTAATCCTTGCCTGACCGTATAGCTCACATCCACAAAGCGCAATTGCTTTAATTTTCACGTTTTTTTTCCCTAATATCTAGTAAGTGAAAAAAGAAAAAAAAAGTATATAAAACCGAGGGCAGTTCTTTTCTGATATAAATAAAGCGTGGGGCACGCGTTTTGCATGCATCTTTTTTTTCCCCGCCTATAAAAACAAATCCCGGGACCTTCCAAATTGAGTTTATGATGGGGCGGGCGCTTCATCACTGGGTATTTTGTCATGTTTTATAAGCTTTATTACTGGTCGAGCCGTATCACGTTGCAAACAGCTAATTCGGGTGTTTCTCAAGGAGCTCTACAGCTTTCCAATTGACATTTCGGTTCATAATACATTTAAAAAGTTAGTTAATTAGTCCTAAACATTTAATTTTTTAGGCATAATTAAAAATACTGCAACTCTGGCAAGACGTTCGCTAAGAAATAAAGTTGGTTTCATTGGCGTAAAGTGGCTGCGCTCTAATTTCTCGTTACAGAGATTTGTAAACGTCTTTCATTTTTATGCTTGGTCTTTAAAGATTCGTGAAAAGCATTCGCGACCTTATCTGTCAAGCCGCGTCCGCGGAAAGCGCGGCCTCCTCGGCAAGTTGTCCCCTCATCGAAGACGACGATGAATAAAAGGTACGATCAAAACTAAATGCCTGAATAGAGTGAAAGTTTAAAAGAATTCTAAGAGTGTTATTTGATTTTATTTGTACCATATTCAAGTTTCAACACTCGTCGCAGGCAGCATGAAAGGCAGCACTGCACTCTTGGCGCAAACGAGTGCCCAGTCAACGGTCCTACACTCAAACACGCATCACCACCCGACCTGTTTGAGAAATAAATAATTTCCAGTACTTTTGATGGAAAACGCGAATGTTCTACTGAGCGTGATATTTCGTGGACCCAAAAGTCCTCTAGCCGAGATCGGTGGTTGACAGCTTCTGGAAGACGAGGAACGACGGATTCATTATTTCCCGCGGAAATACTGTTTTGACGTTGAATTCCACCTAAAATTGTATTTGCACAAATTATGGCACGATGCCGAACTTGCTTGATTACTTTCTTTTAGAGTCAACATAACCAGGCATAATCTACAGATATTGCAGATTTTATTTTAATTGGCGCAAAATACAAGTAGGGACATAAAGAACACAATACAGCTATCCTTTCTACTGCATTTCTTTCTTTCTGTACTTGTGGGCAGTTAGCCCGCATGTATATATTCAAAAGTTGCTAAATCGTTTAAGCCTCCCTCTTTTTATAGTTTGTTTCATAGATTAATTAGGAATTGTGGCGAATCCCGGCTGCGTTCAGGTACAGATCTCGCACATGTTCGAGGACACATTTTGGCATGATTTCCCGTTTGGTGAGGACGTTGAGCTGGCCGCTGTTCAGTTTCTTTTCTAAGTAGGCCGGGCAACGCCAAGCGCCTAAATTAGCCAAGCAGCCCCAAAACTTGCGGTAGTACACCTTCCGAACTCCTGAGTTTTTCGGAGATGGTCGCTGGCCTTTGCCCACCCTGACAGAGCACCGAACAATTATGCAAGGGCTGCAGAGGCTATCTGGGCATTCCATTTCCCAATCTGCGAACGAATGAGAACACAACAGAATGAAAACTTCGTAATACCTGCTGTCTTTTACAAATGGCATAATACGCTAC